TATTGTCCAAATTGTTTGGGGAGCAGGTTTAAGTCCATAGCCATGTAGATGAAAAGTTTTAAACAATTTTGGCGGTGATTTTGAGCCCCGCCTGCTGTGCACACACCCCTGGCCATGAGCCCACCCCAAAGAGAGCTCAATGGGAGGGAAAAGACAGTCTTGTGATTGAGGCACTGGATTCAGGAAATTGGGGTTCAATGCTTAGCTCTGCCACAGACTGCATGAGTGACCTTGGGTACGTCTCTTAATCTTCCTGGTGCCTCAATCCCCCATCAGTAAAATGGGGATAACAGCACTTCCTAGCTTTCCTCTGACCTGTTTATACAGATGGTAAGCTGTTTGGAGCCAGGGCTATCTCTTCCTAGGTGTTTGTATGGGGCCTAGCACAATGGGGCGCTAGGTGTCAGAAATCAGGGCCTGCAACGGAGCTAGCTTCCAGGCAATCCATGGCTTGCAGCAGGCTTGTCTGATCAGCTGGAGGGGCCAGCAAAGCAGCTCGGAAGCACATTATTGTCACTACTCTTGTCTCTGCCTGAGACCCCACCTTGCCTGTTATCCTGTTTGCTCTAGGGGACTCCAGCTTGACCGTTGGCCGTGGTACCCAGTGCCTGACTCCAGTCCCCAGCTCTGACCCTAGCCCCTAGTTTCTGATGCTCGGTTCCTGACGCCTTCTCTAACCCGTAGACCTGATGCTCACACTCACCACGAGGCTAGACTGCCCACGTCCAGGTCGCCTGACACTAGGTGCTACAGGAATAATAATAGTAGGTGAAATGAAGTTGAAGGCTGGGGGTGTGAAGGCCACCATTTGTGTGATTCTTCGGCTGACTGGGGAGTTGGTAGGGACTAGTAAATTAGCATTGTGAACCAGAACATCTTTACTGATAAACCCACATACAATATGTTCAATTTACAGGCCTGATCCTGCCACCCTGACTCTCATTCACAGCCCAACGGGGACCAATGGGGCTACTCCTGTGCATAAGGGTGAATAGGGCTCCTAGTTTCCCCTGCCCTCCCTAGCAACAGAACTGAAATGCGGCTGCAGCTGTCCCAACAGCAAAGCACTCTTCTCGGCATCTGATTCATCACTTGGTGACTGGCGTATCTCTTGGCTCTGGTCCCTGAGTGTGTCATCCGTACCAAGGGGAACCATGACACTCATGACTTCTTCTGCATTTGCCTGTTTCATCAGAGCTGAATACTTTCCCCTCACATGCCCATTGTCACGCTGTTTGGCAAAGTGTGGGGACTTTTTAGGAGTCTGCTTCCTAACCCAGGGTTGTGAGTTCAATCCTTGAGGGGGCCATTTAGGGATCTGGGGCAAAAATCTGTCTGGGAATTGGTCCTGCTTTGAGCAGGGGGTTGGACTAGATGACCTCCTGAGGTCCCTTCCAACCCTGATATTCTATGATTCTAAGCATATGTACAGCACCTAGCACCACAGGTCCAGCTCCAATCTTGGGTGGGGACTCTAGGTGCTACTGTAATTAATAATACTAATAATACTGAAGCTGCTGATGTTAACTTAATGGGCTGGATTAGAATCTAGTGCAAGATACCCAATTTGAATGCAGAGGATGACTAGCTTTGTAGGACTCCTCTTTGTCCCTCTCTTCACCAGGTGAGGTTTCATTTTGCAGAAGGATCGCTCTGAACACCTGCTCCAAAGAACAACCTCACATGACGATGCCAGGGCAACAATTGCATGACTTGTCCGACCCCACTGCAGGGATCCTGCATATTGACGTCTTTCACCAGTAGCATCTTTCATTGCATGCAGCAACGTCAGGAAGCCTATTAAAAAGACATGAAAAGATGGAGGGGGCGGGGAGGGGGAAGCAGACTTTTATCTTCAGGCTTAAAAAACGATGTTTTCAAAGCTGTTGTCAGTGGTGATCTAACCAATCTACAGTACTGGCATATGAATGCCTGACAAAAAGCTGGCAGGAGAAAAAAACCTACTGTACAATTGAGCTATTTCCTCTGAGATGCAGAAAATGAACAAACCTATATATATTTTCTCTTCCGTCTGATCAGATCCACCTGCTTGGGATACAGAAACCCCGGCACCAGGGTAGACTTCTCGCTTTTGCGTACCTGTCAAGATGTGGGTTTTCAGCCTGAGCACACATGGCTGAGCTAAAGGGCCACTGTCTTGTCGATTTATGGTTTTATCTTTCTTACTCTCCATTAGTTGTGATACCCTCCGATTAAGTTTGAAAATAAAACATCTCTATCGATCTTGCCCTTTCCCATTTGGCAAATATTGATCTTCCCCACGTTCTCCACAGAGGCGGACATTAACCCGGCTCTTTTTGTTCCTGCTTCTGGGCTTGACATTCAACACTATTGGCAAGGATGCGGTCCAGGAATTAAGCAAAGCTGGGGGGGTGCTTTATTTAGTGAACTAGGGCACACTGTCTCGCTTGCTCTCTTTTTCTGTGCTGGCAGTCACGGAGCACTACACAGGATGGGGATGATTGTGCCTGGCAGGTGTGCAGGAAAAGGAAAAGCACCAAGAGAAAGAGGAGCGCAGAATAACAATAAACTTCCTCACGGCCTCTTCACTTATTCACATTCTAAAGCCTCATTTCCTGCCAAGAGAAAGTCAGAGTCTTCAAGGCTAAAGGAGCTATTTCCCAGTGCCCACCTCTGTTACTTGTCATGAGAAAGTCGCATCAGTTTAACTTAAGGCGTGAGTTTAAACCCATTTAGTTAAACTAGTGGAAAAAGTTGTGTGGACCCTCCTATTTCCCTGTAAACCAGACATATTGCGGGTTAGCTTGCACCAATTGGGAACTGACTGAAGCTAAACCATGACGAGCCACTCTGAAAGTAAAATAAAAGGGTCCACATTGTCCTTTGCACCAGTTTGAGTAAATCAGATTCAAAACTAATTTAAGTTACATTGGTGCTATTTTCTCATGGAGCCAAGGCTAAAAGAAGGACAGAGTGCAACCACTTGACACGTAACACTGATGTTATGGAAAGTGCCGTGGGATCTTTAATGTCCACAAAGAGCAGGCTTCCATTTGGAAAGGCTCATCTGAAAGACCCCCCAGTGCAGTAACCTGCTTAGATCTCGTTTCATCTGCCTGGGGAGGAACGGCTAAAATGACCCTTCCTGGGATTTGAACCTGGGATTCCAGGCAGCCTTAATATGCTGTACATGAGCACATATAGGTTTTCCCTGTAGTTTACAGATGTTTCCTTGAAAAGGTTCTCAGTATATGTAATTAACTGGATACGTGGGGCCAAATTCTGCTCCAGGTTACACCCTTCTGCTCCAGTTACACCCTTACTCCCAGGAGGGTTACCCACTCACTCCAATGTTGCTACCTCATCCCTAAAACTCATTGGGTCTAGTCTTCTGACTGGAAGCAATCCCCAGGCATCCTGCCCAACTTACTGAGAAGGGCTCTGTAGTTCCAAAGCTTGTCTCTTTCCCCAACACGAGATATTACCTCACCCACCTTGTCTCTCATACCCTGGGACCAACATGGCTCAATGAACTTCTCTCTCCCAGGAAAAGATGTTACGTGATTTAAAAGTAGATTTTAATTAAATATTTTAAACTCTCAGCTGAGTCCCATACGCATTTAGCAAACACTGGTCCTTTTGCCTCTTGTGTGTTTCTTGATTCAGCTGAAGTTAACATGAATGTTCTCTGTCTGTAACAATCCCCTGCATCGTGGATGGCTGTCACCTCTGCCCAATGCTTGCTGCTCTGGTACACCAAGCAGAGGGAACACAAAGCAGGCTTTTTGGGGCCCGTAACAAAGGGCTGTTGGTAGCTGGCTATTTAAAAGGAGGCCTCCCCTGACTGACCAGAGCAAGTCATAGCTTTGAGGGCTGTGGTATTTCAGTCCCCTCTGAATGTCTGCTACCAGGCAGGGAGGCAAGCATGATAGGCACTATAAACACCAGGTCCTTGCCTTCGGGTGGAGATCAACTTCCATTTTGAGTCACAGAAGGTCACTTTTCTAGGGCTACTGGAAACTGAAAGGGACAATTACTCAAGAAAAGAGCAACCTAATGGTTCCTCACCTACCTCCTATGGGCACCCCACTAACAAGGTATAAAGGTAATGGGGTCTCATTGGGGTTCCCTCCACGCCATCCACCTGCTGCATATACACAGTCACGCCCATGCCACCTGCATGCAGGCCACTGCTGGCAACAGGCAGCTTCCCTGCCTGGCTCACAATTTTTCAGTCCTTCCTCCTGGGCTCCTTGCCACCCGGCCTTCCCTGTACAGCCAGTTCCCAGGCTGCTGCCTGTGCCGTTTCTCTCGCTCACACGCAGCCCCTCTCTCTGTACTGGTCTGAACATGGTCCCCTTTAGCCTCAGACTGCCTCTTCCTTTCCTTGTATTATGGGGATTGTGGAGCAGATGTAGAGCTGGGTAACACAGTGCCTGCCCCCGTCTTGCTCCTTTCCACCCTTGTTCAGCCAGGGCAAGGGGGAAGTTGCCCCAGCACTCCACGTGAGAACAGTTTCATATCAGGTTCATGGTGGGGAAGGGCCATTTCCCAAATTTTCCCAGCTGGTTTTTGTCTGCACTTTAAACACGCTGCTTGCCCCTCCTAGTCAAGCAAATCCCAGCACCCTAGCAGAACAGTTAATGCACAATGTAGCCTGCCTGCAGGGACTGGAAAATACCTGCTTCTGGTGCGGTGCTAGTGCCCGAGCTCTGTTAGCACTGGGCTGGCTGGACCCTAGCTTTGATGTAACATGGCACATGGCAAAGGGTGGGGAGAGACCCTGATGTGTTGGGGATGAAAAGCCCCACCCCAGGGGCAACTAAAACAGCCAAGCCAAGCCCCTGGCGCGAGACTGGGTGGAGCAGAGCCCGTGGCTGGGGACCCTTCGCAAGCCCCGGGTGGCAGAATGATTGCTACCCCGCCCCTGCAGCCTTGCGAAGGTGGAGCCGGGCGTTGCTATGGCAAAAGAATGTTAAGGAATTACGGGGGCGGGGCGGCTCCAGGAAAGAGCCAATCAGCGAGGCGACACAGATCCGCGGGAGATTAAAGTGCCATCCTCAGGCCGCTGCTCTAGGTGAAGTCTTTGCCCAGAGCCAGGGGCTGAGCAGGTACAGGGGGTAGCCGTCCCGGCGCTGCTGGGGGGCCTGTGTTGAACAGCTGGTGCAGCAGACGCTGCTGCAGAGGGGCTGTAGCTGGGGTCCCTGCGCCGGCTGGAGTGGTTGCTCGTTGCTTCCACTGACGCTTGTTTTTTCAGCCTGCAGCCCCCTCCAGTTGGGGGGGAGAGGCGTGCTGCTGGGGAGCAGTGGGGTAGCCTCCTTGCTTGGGTAGGAAGCCAGGCTCTGCAGAGCTGCTCTCTGGCTGTGCAAGGGGTGAAGCGTGTGGCTCGCCTGATGTAAATGCTTGCAGAGGCTGTAGGCTGCTTCCTTCTCCCCCAGCTGCTGGGGGCAAGTCACTTTTCTGCCCTTGCTGGGAAGGCAGGAGTCCTATGCAGGTTCACAACCTGCTAGGTGTCTCTGGCAGTAGTGGACTGGCTAGTACTAGAAGCGGTTCCTCCTGAGGGAGGCTTTCACGAGTTGTTTCAATAGACGTTTAAAATTTTCCTCTGGGAAGAAGCAGCAGCATTTAGTCTCCCCTCCTCCTCTCAAATCCTGTTAGACTGAGCTCTCCCCCTGTGCAAGTCTGTTACAATTGACAGAGAAATGCAGAAATCCAGAATTCCAGTACATGAGTTGGTCTATTCTGTTAGTGGTACAGCCAGAAATAAAGGGTTTGATCAGTCAACTGTCCTCCCCTATGTGCATGCAAGGTACAGCTTAAATCCAGCCCTAAAGCAGGGGTGGGTGAAGCCTATGGCGTTGACTGGCCTCTTCCTCTCCCTGCCGCATGCTGGTAGAATGATTAGGCAAGAGTTTTTCATCCTGGTGGGTAGCTGGCTGGTATGTACTTGTGGATTTGGCTACTAGTAGCAGTGTCTGGCTTCTCATGCAACTGTTGAGCATAAATTGCTTTAAATGGTGCCTTAAGTGGGAAGTGCCTCAAAGGGCCAACATTTTCAGGATATCCTCTCCAAAAGGCTTGGGCAATATATCCCATACCTCATGGTGAATGCAAAAAGATAAGAACAGGAATGTGTGTGTGTGTGAAACTGCTACACTAGCATGTTTGCTTCTAACAGATCAGCTGCATCTGTGATTTTAATGCTGGTAATACCCCAGGACTGCTGTTGATGTGTCAACTTGCCTTGCTTGTCCTTTACTAAACTTCTCAGGCTGTTCGGTCACCTGCAACATCCGCCCCTGTGAAATAAACCAGCTGGTGGTGTGTACCATGTGCTTTCCCCAGTAGTATGCATCTGAGTTTGTCTGTAGTTATGGCTAACATTGACCATTGTGTGGTCTTTAAAATAACCAAACACTTCGTAACCACAGCTTTGTGATGGGGAAGGCTTCTTAGTGCAAATTCTGACCTGGAAAAATACTTAAATCTGAGCCACTTACTGGCTGATAGTGGTACAATAACAAATGTATCTGGGGAAAATAGGAATAACTAGGACACCTCTTATTGTAACAGTACAGGTTACCTGGTGGTGTAAGACAGTAGGCTTGCACATATTCAGTCTCTTCATAGCTACCCCTTAAGTCAGCGCTTTCAACATCATGGACTCTCTTGCATCTCTCTCCAGCTTTGAATGTGTTTAAACTAAAGAGAGACTGAAGAAGAAGCTACAGTATCAAGTAATGGCTACAAAAACCTCTTGGGACATGTCTGGGTTCTTGTCACAGAGCAGATCTGTGCTTAGTGACAAATGTAACTTCAATGGCCTAGTGTTAGTCCCTGTGGTTTTTGTTAGTATTCTAAGTGACCCAGGTCTGTCTAACTGCCAGCCTTAAATGGTCCTTCCTGTCCAAAAAACAAACTTGTGCCCAACATTGATGCAGTAGAGTGTATGTGCTGGGGACAAAACTGTTTGGAGCACTAGACTTTGGACACTGGAACGTGTATGTTCACAGCCCATACCTGTGCTAGGTGCAGCCTCTCCCTTTAGACCAAGTTAAACCCTGTAAGTGGCACTTGCTGGCTAGTTGCAGTGAAACTAACTAATCACTGAAACCTAATCTGTTCTGTCTCAAATCCTATCTGCAGTTGAAGCTTTGAACTCGCTCAACAAACAGCTGAGAAGATGCCTACCACAAATGAGCAAGATGAGAGGATGAAAAAGTTTAAAAATAAAGGCAAAGATACAGCTGTAAGTATGGGGGTCCCCAACCAATCAGTGTCCTGACCAAATTGGGGGGTGTGCATGATTCCTCACGAGGTGTTTTCCCTTATGGCACAGAACTCGAAAATGTTGACCGTAAGTGGTCTAAACAGTATCTTTCAGAATATGATAAAGCATATAACATGAGATTTAGGCTTGGCCTACACCAGAGGTTCTCAACCTTTGGGCCGCTTGTGGCCTGCTAAGCATGCAGCTGTGGCCCATGTGACATCCTCAGGACCATACAGATAGTGTGTATATATATGTTGTGTGGCTGTAGCCCATATAAACCAGAGAGGTACGTATGTGGCCCACAATGGTAAATAGGCTGAGAACTATTGATCTATACTGTGAACTTATGTCACTATAACTACGTCGCTTCATGTCCCTGAGTGATGTAGTGATACCAAACAAATCCGTGGTATAGACAGCTTCTTGGGAAGATGGGTTACTTAGGCAGACAGGAGAAATCCATCTCCTGTCAGCATAGGTGGCATCTTCACTAAGCACTACAGTGGCACAACTGCAGCGCTGTACGTGTAGACAACCCTTAATACAGCAGGAAGAAAACATGCCTGGAGCTTGAAAGAACAAGATCTAGCTTTAAACGGCAAAAGAGAAACTAAAACTTGGTAAGAAATCACTGGGGCAGGAAGCTGGCTCTCGACACTTGTAAAAGGCAGAGATTTTGCTTTTCAGGTCTGTCAAACTGAAGCTTAATGGTATCTGTCATAATTTTGTGCCGCTACAAACACTTGAAGCTAGCGCTAAAACTGTGTCTTGCATGGCTTGGGGTTTTTTGTTTTTGTTTTACATGGCCCTCAAAACAAAATTACAAAAAGTTATCTGCATGGGGATCAAGACTTGGAAAAGATTACATATAATATAGAATTTGAGAGATGGATCTGGGTTTTATTCAGTTGGAACAGTGTTCTCTAGCACTTCCTCTGTGGTCCCCTTGTACAGAAATGGAGGAAAACTCTTTAAAAAGTAGGAAAAAATGCAAACTGACAGAGGATTTGGGGGCAGGTTTCATAACTAACGCAACTTTCTCCAGCTGGCAACATATCAAGTTGACAAACCTTTAAAAGTCCTGCCGAGTTTTAAAATAAAAACATCCTGGGGTAAGGAAAATATTTGTGGGGGCTTGCGTAAACTTGAAAGCTATCTTAGATTAACCTGAATTGCTTTAGGATAAACTGCCTTGCATCCACATGTTTAATTACAACATCCCATTCTGCTTTAATTAATCCATTTTGGATGCAGATACTCTCTAATTTGGAATGAGTTGCTCTGGAATAAGGTTGGTCTGAATGCATCCTCATTTTGAATTAGCTATTCTGCGTCTGGCAGTCCTCCCACTGCTATCCCACACTGCATTAGTGCCCACCCAGTGGGCCTGTCTGTTTACCTCTGTGTGCACTACTGGTCCTGGGTCATCTTGACCAGATGTCATTGCCCTGATTTAAATGCTGGTGTGCAGCCAGGTGTGCCCTCCTTTGGAGAGCTCTCACACAGTCACATACAAATTATAGCAGCCATGCCCCCTTGTGGGATGACAAGAGAGGAATCATGGGCATTGCTTTGACCAAGTCCTCAAATTCCAGTGGCTTCCAGTAGGTGTTCCCCCATACAGTGAGGAAAAATCCCAGAACTCATGAGCCTGGTGGTGGATCACCGTACCAGGGGATGTCTGCCCAGAATGTTCTGCACTTACCTTGAAAAAGTGCAGTGATGCACAGCCTCTGATTCAAAAGACAAGTCAGTTACAGCAGTATAACAAAGCAGTCTGGACCCACTGCTTTGGGAATAGTTATACTTGATTGTCTTTGTCTCAATCAATCTGAAATAACACTCAAGTGGAGCCAAACGCTTGTACATGGCTGCAGTGAAGCGTTCTCTTAGAGGATAACTGTTCTCTGGTGCACCTACAAATCTGACACTGATCACAAAACAGTCTGACTACACTGGTGTCAGGAATGCCCTAAAGGGGGGACTGACAGGGAGGATGGCTTTATCAAAACGTATTGATAGGAAGGGCCAGTGTAGACAGAGTTGTGACAGCCTTGAGAGAGGGGAAACATCAGAACAAGTCCTCTTAAGACTGTCTGGAGTTTCCTAGTGAAATGAACATAACATCTATGCCAATAAATTAGCTATTTCTAACATGTCTAAACAAAGCTGCCCTTCCCCTTTAGCATGTGTAAGGCTGCGAGCCAAAAGTTGTCCTTCATAAATAATGACAAGGGCAGATTTCTGATAGTGATCTGGATTCCTTGGTAAACTGGGCACAAGCAAACAATGTCTTTAATATAGCTAAATATATACATCTAGGAGCAAAGAATGTAGGCTGTATTTACAGAATGGGGGAGTTGATCCCGGGAAGCAGTGACTCTGAGAAAGATTTGAGGGTTGTGGGGGGATAATCAGCTGAACATGAGCTCCCAGGGCCATGCTGTCACCAAAATGTCTAATGTGATTCTTAGGTACATAAACAGCAGAATTGCATGTAGGAGTAAGATTATTTTCCCTCTGGCACTGGAATACTAGCTCCACTTCTGGTGCCCACAATTCAAGACGGATGTTGATAAATTGGAGAGGGCTCAAAGAAGAGCCATGAGAACAACTAAATGATTAGAAAACCTACCTTATAATTGACTCAAGGGGCTCAGTCTCTTTAGTTTAACAAAGAGAAACTTATGGGGTGATTTGATTAGTACCTACATGGGGAACCAAGATTTAATAATGGGCTCTTCAAGCTACCAGAGAAAGGTGTAACATGATCCAATGGCTGGAAGTTAGTTAGACAAATTCAGACTGGAAATAGTGTAAATTTAACAGTGAGGGTAATTAACCACTGGAACAAATTACCATGGATATTGATGTATTCCCCATCACCAGTGACTGGATGTTTTTTCTAAAAGATATGTGCTCCCGGAACTATTTTGAAGTTCTATGTCCTGGCTTATAAATAAGCCTTGCAGAATTCACTTTTTATTTCTTTTATGATTGACCGAGAATATTGCTGTTTGGTTTTAAGCATTTTTAACTTGAAACATTCTGTTTCAAGAAATCATCGGGGGCTGTCAGACAATTATTTAATGACAGCTTTTGAAATTCAGAAAGCTTTAAGCACAAATTGTCTGCATCACATGTCAAAATATACAAAGTAAATATTCTTAATCAAACTAGAATTTCTCAAATAGCGTACTTTCTTGGCCGGTCTAATTTTCAGTTGATGATGATTTTTCACTGGTTTGTGTGTGGATGGTGAAATTTACATTTTTATCTGTAAATGTCCTCTTTCCAAGCTTAATTATACAAGAGGTCAGACTAGATGAAGACAGTGGACCCTTCTGGCCTTGTAATCTGTGAATCTGATGGTTTACCTTAATTTCTCTAGGATAGCACTAAAGCATTTACCAGAGGAATATCATCTACTCTCCTAGTCATCAGAGCAGTTGTAAAGGTAGCATCCTGTCCAATGGCAGATCATTACAAGATGCCCATCTTTTGGTCTTGCAGCATAACTCAAAACTTGCCACAATCCCCTACCCCCAATAATGATTGTAGGTGCCAATCTGTCATGTGCAAGACTTTGTCACAATATTTGTGAAGCGACAAAGCTTAAATAAGTCCAACAGGAAATCTGAGCAGAACACTTGAAGACTAAACTTGGGATAGAAGTCCGATCACTTCCTAGAGAAATAATGTGTGCAGTGCTATGAAACATCCATCTTCAGAGCTGATACTCACAAAACCGCTTGTAACATATGGCACTCTTCCTTCATAGGCGATGAGACGCCAGAGGATGGAGGTTAATGTAGAACTTCGAAAGGCCAAGAAAGATGAACAGATCCTAAAACGAAGGAACATTTCTTTCTCTTCCATGGGGGAGAGTCTTTCTCCAGAACAAGAGAAAAAGAATGCAGTGAGTACAGTGCACTACTGTGCAAAAACCATGCTAGCTGCTCAACTCTATGGCCAGGCTAACTTGTGTAGTGACACAGTTGCTCGCCACTCTGAGCTGCTCAGATGTTGCAGTGAACACTACCGAGTCTATTTAAGTGACTCGGTTCTACAGGAAGACTATTCAAAATAAACTAGAAAGGGGACATTGAAAACCTCTTCCAATGGTGTATGTTAGACTTCCTGTTAGATAGAACTGGCAAGAACCCACGCTGGCTACTTGAGCAGTGAATGCAATCTGATAGCTGATAGTCTAGCTACCCTGGAACGTTCTCAACAAACTTTCAGAACTTGCGGCCTTATTCCTGCCTGACACAAGGGATCCCTTACATCTGAGGTTTTCATGGACTTTCTTCCTCTGCCTCATCCTGAAACTGCATTGCATAAAGGATGGATATTGTTTAGACATGCTGTGGTGGCAGATTGGGCCTAGGCTTCTAGGTGACTACAAAGATGAATTCTGAGTCTTGGCTTATCTTGTCTGACTCTGAATCTCCTTTCTCCATGACAGACTGCTCAGCTCTCCTTGGAGGAAATAGTTCAAGCTGTGAATGGGAACAATCCTGAGCTTCATCTGAAGGCTACTCAGACAGCCAGGTATGTTGTAACAGTTCTTTCTGTGCAATAGAATACAAATATTGATGTAGTGCCCATATGTGCTACAGACCTCTTCCCTGCTCAAGAGTTATACTGCAGACCTAACTGAAAGACGAGAGAGGATGGATTGTCCAGTGGTTAGGGTATTGGCATAGGACTAGACATGTGTTGAAGTCCCTACTTCACCAGACTTCCTGTCTGACCTTGGGCAAGTTGCTTTGTCTCTGCCTCGGTTTCCCACCTGTAAAATGGGGAGAATAGTACTTCACAACACAATTGTGAGCAAGAGAAGAAATCAGATTGAGGCATTCAAATACTGCAGCAATGGAGGAGGGGAGCATGAAAGTACCTGAAACAATGGAAGGGAAAGAGGCAAGGGTACAAAAGCCAGAATCCAAAACATGAGGCAACTCAAACATTAGCCTGTGTAGAGGTAGGGGTGCTTCCTTGCTAACTCATGGGTGGGGAAAGGGATGTTTCCGGTCTTGTGTGAGTGATGTGGGGGGGAGTAAGGGGGGAAGAAACCAAGCAATGTCTGAAGCTCAGGTTAGAACAGTTGAAGAACAGACTTTAATGTCTGAGGGGACAAGCACTGTGAAGGAACACAGCTGGTGTTCACACCTCAACTGCTAGCAGAGCACCTCACCCTCCCTGATTGAACTAACCTCATTATCTCCATACTGATTTATACCTGCCTCTGGAAATTTCCATTACTTGCATCTGAAGAAGTGAGGTTTTTACCCACAAGTTTTATGCTCCCAATATTTCTGTTAGTCTTAAAGGTGCCACAGGACCCTCTGTTGCTTTTTACAGCTGGTTAAGTGTCTCCTCTCCTCAACAGGGTTAGGCCTGTTTGAGGTGCAACTCTTCCTTCAGGCCACATAGCAGCCTCCCACCTTGGCCTTCAGAAGGCAGGGGGGTTGCTGTGGCTGCCACCACTCATTGAAGGCTCCTCCTGGCTTCTTTTGCTGACTCAGCTCCCTAGACAAGGGTATCTGACATGTCTGCCAGAATGACTAGTGCACCTCTATACTGCAGTTAAAAACCTGTGGCTGGTCTGGGCTTGCAGGGCTCGGGCTAAGGGGCTGTTATTAATTGCAGTGTAGATGTTCACAGGAGCCTGAAGTGAGAGGGTCCCAAAGGTCAGGCTGCAGCCCAAGCCTGAACATCTGCACCACAGTTAAACAGCCCCTTAGCCAGAGCCCTGCAAACTGGCATGGACCAGCTGTGGGTTTTTAATTGCCGTGTAGATGTACCTCAAGAGCCTTCCCAAACATCCTGTGGTGGTTATGGGCAGTGCAGTAACCTCACTCCTCTGGAGACTAGCTCAAATGCATTTGCTTCACAAGTGACAAACTTGGCCTCTACTAGGCCCAACTTGTGCACATACCTAAAACAACTTGAAAACTAAATGTGACTGACCCCTTCAAGGAAGAGGAAGGCCAGTCTTCCAGGTGCATGGCAGAGCTGACCTGCAATTGGCTCTTGAGTGTCCCAGGCAAAATATCAACAAGCTGTAGGTAGTCAAAGTAGCAGACTGTACCAGAAAACAAGTCTTCTAAAGGACCCTCCCACCCCAAAACAGCAGTAATCTCGAAACAGGGAAGAGGAAGTATTACTGCTCTTATCATGCTTTCTCTGGTTGCCACTGCTCTGAGCCATAGGCAAACAATGATATTGCTGCCACCGTGACCTCTTGAAGACCCATGTGACTACAGTTTTTGTAGAAGACTAACTCTTGAATACGCAATAACAAAACTACTGTGGATTTGCCTAAACAAGATGCTGAACTCAGTTTTCCTATAGTGAGAGCTACAGAGCTTGTCTACTTGCTGTGTAAAACACTCCAGGGTCCATCTCACTATAGTTCAGAGTCATAGGATTGTGGTTCATCATTATTTCCCACTGACTGAGTGAAAAGGGAGAACTTACCCTGAGATGCCATTTCCTGTCTGTCCCCCACAGGAGGATGCTGTCCCGGCAGAGGAACCCACCTCTCAATCAGATTATTGAAGCAGGGATTATTCCCAAACTGGTGGAATTCTTGAGCCGTAACGATAACGTTACCTTGCAGTTCGAAGCCGCGTGGGCCCTGACTAACATTGCTTCTGGAACATCTGACCAGACAAGAGCCGTTGTGGAGGCAGGTGCTGTCCCAGCCTTCGTAGCCCTCTTGTCTTCTCCGCACATGCATATCAGTGAACAGTCTGTGTGGGCACTGGGTAACATAGCAGGTAAGAGGCGCTTTCCCGCTTTCACAAAATGGTGACCTGTGCAACGGCTCTCCTTTGGAATGCCTCCAGATTATTGCCAAGGCAACAGTGATCACAAGGCAAAAATCTCATGCCCTCTAGCTTTAATGGGAACTAGATATCTAGACTTCAAGATAAAGCCTGGAGTAAAATAAGGACCAGTAAATCCATCTACTTAACCTTGTGGTATAGGCAAACCCAGCCAGCATCTGTGTGCTGAAGAACCCTTACTGAGACCTTAAATTCTTCTTGTTATGAAGGCAGAGTACTCAGTCTTTATTCTCCCCCCCCCCCCCCATATCTGCCTCATCTAACATGCCTTTCTTGCCAAAGAGTGTGGTTTTGATTTTCTTAAAATTCAGTTTGTGTGAGGGGGAAAACTGTCTGGCCACTCAATCCTCACCAATTGGAAACAAACAATACTTTATGACTCTAGTTTGCCTACCAAAAATAAACCACCTCATCACCTACTGGTGGCTGCAAGTGTAGACACTTGTTATCATTCTGTTCTTTAACACATCAGGAAGTAGTCTGGCTGCTAGATAAGACAACTGTAAACAAACCATTCTGCTCTTCTCCATACAGGTGATGGCCCCATGTACAGAGACTCCCTTATCCACAACAATGTGATTCCTCCTCTGTTGGCCCTGGTGTCGCCTTCTACTCCTGTAAATATTCCAACTCCTTGAATTAGTAGCTGTTAATCACTTGACTAATTGCTGAATTGTGACTACTAATCACTTGTAACAAAGCCAAATGTTAACCCATTTGTGTGAAGGTGGGATGGGCTCTGCTCTTGGGATAAAACAGTTGGGGAGGAGGGGCTGGAAGAAAAGGATATCTTGTCCTGTATATAGTTAATGGTTTGTGATTGGCTAATTGGAAACCCACTGGATACAAGCTAACAAAGATCTGACTGCTTTCACCTGTCCATGCTGACTTGGCTGGCTAATGGTAGCAAATGTGCAGATGTAGCAAGCTGGTCCCCCTGCACCTAGATCTAAGGAACCTTTCCACTCTGGGTCTCATCCTCTTTTAAACCTTTCCACTTGTCTAGTGCTCAGTAGCAAAACTGTCCAACTAGATAAAGTGGTAAGATGCTGAATTGTCCATCCTGAAAGGATGGAGGATGGGGGAGGGAGAGGAGAACAAGAAGCAGTAGCGTGACCAGACAGCAAATGTGGAAAAATCAGGATGGGGGTGGGGGTAATAGGAGCCTATATAAGACCCAAAAATCAGGACTGTCCCTATAAAATCAGGATATCTGGTCACTCTAAGAAGCAGCAAGATTAACCTGTACCCTGTAAAACAAAAGCTGCTTATGGGGAGGAGGGAAGTAATGCAGGGTCTGGTGTGCCTCCTGGCTAGTACTTGAGTCAATGTTAGATGCTTCAAAACCAGTTACTGGTCCCTACCCCCAAAGAATTTAAAATCTTGGCTCTAAACACAAAACAAAGCATAATGGGGTGGGGGTGGGGTTATACATCACTTTATCTGCAAACCCATGTGAGCAATCCACTAGATTTGCCAGTCCAGATCCTTACTACATAAGTGTCTAATACACTCTTCCTTGAATGAACTGCTTAGTCTGACCCTGCTGAGGGTTCCTGAGATGATAAATGTCTCTGGGGCTCCTCTCCTCCCAGGAAGGGCTGAGGCTTTGTATAAGATGCTCCCTGGGAAATGGCAGGGTTAGGGCTGGGGCCTAGTGACCTGCATGGATGCCTAGGGCGGGGTGTCTGTAGGGCACTGATGTCTATATTGTCCTTTCCTATGGGTAGAATAGAGGCAGGAGAGCCTGCTGTGCCCTTCTGGGTAGAGGAGGGGCAATTTAGGGCAGTGTTAAGCAATGTCCCTCCCTTAGATCAGTGGTTCTACAACTTTTGTATTGGTGTCGCCTTTCACATGGCAAGCCTCTGTGTGCAGCCTCCCCATACAAATTAAACACACTTTTTTATATATATTTAACACTACTATAAATGCTGCAGATGAAACGGGGTTTGAGGTGGAGGCTGACAGCTCACAACCCCCCACATAATAACTTTGCAACCCCCTGAAGGGTCATGACCCCCAGTTTGAGAAGCCCTGCCTTAGATGCTCCTAGTTCTTTGTCTCTTGCTGCTGCATTCCTAGATGTACTCGCATACTCCTCCCAGGGAACAGCATGGATAGATTAGTTGTGTATTGAAAACATAATATGGTAGATGCAACTCTTTGTGAACCCAGATGTTGCTGTCCTTCAGAAAGTCTGTGCTTCCCTCCCGCTGTGATGAATATGGTCTGCACAGCACTAGCTATTCATAGCCTCCGTGCACAGTAAGTTAGATCAGCCCATGCTGAAAAACCAACCATTCCAGATCCAAACTCGGTAGGGGATTACTCCATAATCTTGGTCCCAAAAGTCCAGCAAATGCTTGCCTTGGAAACTGGCATTTAACTTGTAACATTCCAAATAGCTCTCGTTTAAAAATCTCACTGTTTTAGTATCCGTTTGTCATGCCACCAGGTATTTGTTTGAGAGACTTCTCACCAGGTAGCAATTTATCATGGGGGGAAGGAGACTGCCTTCTTACTCCTACCTCATCTCAGATGGGGGTACCCTATTAATTCACCTCCCATCTTATCCTTTCTCTCCCCCTCCCCTCACCTCAAACTTCAGAGTTGCCACTGGCTTTGCAGGATTCCCCTACACTGACTCTTGGCTGTTCCCCTCTAACTCATGAGGAAATCCTATTAAATGGGGCAAATGCACCACTTCTAGAGTGTTTCCTTTCCCTGGCCTTAACTTTGCAGATTCTCAATCTTGTATGAGAACATCCTCCCTTGTGTTTCAGGTTGGGTTCCTGCGAAATATAACATGGACGCTGTCAAACCTCTGCAGGAACAAGAACCCTTACCCACCCCTTGAGGCAGTGAGACAGATCCTGCCAGTGCTCATTCGCCTACTGAAACATGAAGATAAGGACATCCTCTCTGACACTTGCTGGGCTGTATCCTACCTGACTGATGGGTCCAATGATCGCATTCATGTGGTGGTGGAGACTGGGATTCTCCCGAGGCTGGTGGAACTCATGGCCAGTCCAGAATTAAGTGTTGTGGTAGGTAGAATACATGGGCTATGGCAAGAAATACTCATTCTTTCATGAACCTCACTCCTCCACAAAGGCACAATTCAGTGCTACAAAGGGAAACCTAAAAAGCAAGACTCCTCCCTTCTAGGACTGGAATTGGAAGCATGCTGGAGGTGGGAGGGGAAACAAGGGTATCCTTGTCCACCATAATGGGATTGTCCTGCCCCCTAGATTGCAGAGGTAGCTCTGCTGCTGATCCAACACCCTGGTCTTGCTGGCTTATGGTTGCATGACATAAAGATTTAACGGGGGGAGGGATAGCTCAGTGGTTTGAGCACTGGCCTGCTAAACCTAGGGTTGTGAGTTCAATCCTTGAGGGGGCCACTTAGGGGTCTGGGGCAAAATCAGTAGTTGGTCCTGCTAGTGAAGGCAGGGGGCTGGACTCAATGACCTTTCAAGGTCCCTTCCAGTTCTAGGAGATCTCCATTATATTTTTTTTATTTTTATTTAAGCCAACTTCCTCTGAAAGTGGGACTTGTCTTAAAAGTAGGACACCAGAGTTGTGCACTAGTTAGGTTATGACTGCAGGGGCCAGCAGCATGAATGAACTTTTCTACTGGTCAGTAAGGGAAAGACCAATGTTGAGGGGAAACACTTGTTAGACTAGTTCTGCTTCTTGGGTGACTAAGTCTGGGGGCCCTGCCAAAGACAGTCTCCTCATCTCACTCATTCAGGGAGTGAATCATTTCTCTCTACCTAGACCCCTGCTCTACGTGCTATTGGGAACGTAGTCACTGGGACCGACGAGCAGACCCAGATGGCCATCGATGCAGGTGTGTTGACCGTCCTGCCACAGCTCTTGCAACACCCAAAGCCAACTATACAGAAGGAGGCAGCATGGACTCTCAGTAACATTGCAGCAGGACCTTGCCATCAGATCCAGCAACTCATTACCTGTGGGCTGCTACTTCCCTTGGTGGAGCTGCTGGATAAGGTACAGGAGAAGCAGTGTGGGTGATGTGTGGTGCTGGGATTACTGCTACTGCAAAAGCAGTGAGTTAATAAAAGCTCCATGCTTCCCACTTCTAGTCTGAGACTGTTTGGACTAGGAGGACTGGCACATGCTACTACTCCTCTTGAGGTACTCTGGCCTGTTTCATGTGCCTTAAAACGGCAAGGGAGCTGCATGCTTTCCTTGCATGCCCATCATAGAAGCATGCAGGTACTCTTTCCCTATGACCAACCTCTTCCATACAGACATCACAAGTGTCAGATGACTTGTGCCTGGTGATAGTTGTGGGTGGGGAGACAGAGGGCAGCTGGCTTAGTCAGTGTTACTGACCATGCTCGGTAAAAGCCAAGCAGCAAATGGGGGTGGGGGGGGAGCAGCATGACCCTATATACCCCCATGTGTCACCTCTACAAAGCTTTGCTTAATTCTTGAATTAAGCTGACTCCTGAGACTAGAGTGCTTAAGCAAACAGCGTATCAAGGAAACTGTCTAGTCCTTTTCCACTTGTTACATTTTATAGACATAGGTGAATGGAGATCCAAGTTCTAACCTGCATCTCTCTTGCAGGGAGAATTTAAAGCTCAGAAAGAGGCCGTGTGGGCAGTAGCCAACTTCACAACAGGAGGCACTGTACAGCAAGTGGTGGAACTTGTCCAGTATGGGGTCCTTAAACCTCTGCTCAATCTGCTGTCTGCCAGAGATGGCAAAACCATCCTGGTCATCCTTGATACAATTTCAAATCTCTTCCTGGTAAGATCTTGACTTCCAGTGGTGGTCTTGCTTTTTTGTAAGTGGTGGTTTTTCCTTTGGGGGGGCCTCAAACTTGTATGCACTAGGGTCACACTTGCCTGTGCACATGGATCACCAGTATTGGCCCTACCCTTGGAATAGGCTGTAGGCAGTAGAAGTCATTTTGGGGCAACACTTGCCTACTAAATACCAAAAACTTAAGCTGACTTAGATACAGTTAAAAGCAGTGCTAAGAGAAACAAAGCTTGGATTTCTGCTTGCAGCTCTCTTCCTTAAGAGGATGAAACAAGCTAGTATGACACTACAACTGTGTCCTGTGTAAATATTGGGCCCCCTCTGGAAATAAACTCCTATTGACATGCTGTGTAACAGCACAGAAGTAAAGAGTTCTTGAAAACCTAAATCTTAATATTTAAAAAAAAAAAGCACTGAGGTTAACCACGTAAGATCAACAACTGGTCCCAGAGGCTTGTAACTAAATCCCTTGGAGCCAAGTACTTATTGTGTGGTTTAATTTTGTAAATACCTGAGCTTCAGGCCTCATTCTTGTAGCACTGCAGGATCCAATTGGAGAGCTTGTAGCTCACAAACGGCATACCTGCATGCAGGCTTTGACTCTCTCCAACACTTGGGTGTGCAGGAGTGGGGATTCAATGGCTAGTCCCAGAACAAGGTGCCATCTGATGGAGTTAAATTTATTTTTTCAGTAGGTCAAGAAGGCACCTAGGGCAGCTGGTGCTATCTAATCTCCTTGCGCCTTCTCCCAATCTCCACAGGCAGCTGAGAAGCTGGAGGAGACCGAGAAGCTGTGCTTTCTAGTGGAAGAACTTGGTGGCCTGGAGAAAATTGAAGCACTGCAAACCCATAATAATACCATGGTTTATCAAGCTGCCTTAGGTCTCATAGAGAGATACTTCGCTAGTGAGGTATGTGGACTGTCTCAACTACTTCCAAGTGGTAGCACGGGGAGAACAGTTATCCCATGTGATCTCTGAATAGTATCTTCTGCCAGGTCTCTCCATCCAGGCTTTCAGGACCCTGAAACAATCTTGAGTTTCTGCAGGTTATTAGCCTCAGACTGTGCATCATTCAGTTCACAGGTATCCGTTACTAATCTAGACTCCAGAAGGTCAAGACTTAAGTTAGGTTGAGTTGATGCCCAACCAAGTCAACCAGATCCTATCTTGCTGCTGGAGTTCCTTTTTGGCTATCTCCAAATGACAGCTGTTGGAATGATTCAAGGATTTATATGAACTGCAAATGTAAATAGGCTTTACTTATTTAAAGCTTAGCTAATTTATTGGCATGAATGGAAGACTAGACTAAACATCCTACTCTAATCAAGCACTCTTGTCAAGCTGCTAGCCCTATAGGTAGAAGATCAAATCCTGTTAATTCACAACAAATCTCCCTCTATCAAAGGTTAAGTTTAGAACACTGGCCTTGTGCAGTAACTCTAAAGCTATGGTTACTGTTGCATTTGGGGAGGGGAAAATGAGACCGGGCACTTAGCCCTGTCCAGCAGCTCATGTGCCCCATGTGACTTACCATAACTGCAGTTGCAGCATTTGTGCACGCACAGAGCATAGCTGTGCTGCTAAAGTATCTGAAATGTGTTCATAATATTAGGCTTAAGAGCAAACACTCATCGAGATGAATTGGGGCACCTTTCAATGACAAGCTTTTTGAGCAGGGCTTCTCATACTAGTTTGTACGGTACCCAAGCACAGTGGGACCAGACCCTGCCTAAAATCTCTAGGTGCTATACTGGTAGGATGTTCATATCCCAAACCCTAAGGTCTGGAAACTATTTTTAAAATACTGCAGAATGTTTCCTTTTAAAATCCTGACACTTATAGGGAAGCCTTCTGTGTTCTGAGTAGCTGACCCCAACATTGAAGGATTTGAGGGCACAGGAAGAAGGCAAAGACAGATCTCCCTTACAAAGAAACGGTCAGGCTGTAACAGCAGTGAGTAAACACTGACTCTACTGCAATGCTTCTGTGAGACACTTGACCTGTAGCTGTGACAGTCAGCCCATCGACACAATCCATACAGGAGGCCTAGGCTATCCCTGCTTTGTGCAGTACTAGATGGGTTGGAACAGCCTCTGAACTAGTCCCCAGTTGTCTTGGCACTGCCAGTGAGATGCCTGATCTATGCATTCCACTGCTGTAAGAAATTAGTCACTTAGTCAAGTCAAAGGGCCAGTCTCCACTGCATGAAACACCCGTAGCTAACTGCCCCCCGATATGTCAGCACTGCAGCTGGAAGCAAGCTCAGGCAGCAGCTTGACCTCACAGGCCCCTCCAACCTCTTGGATCGGAGCTAGGATGGCAAGCTGCAATTGCTATTTTTGGTGTACTAGATGGAGCAAAGCCAGTGTGAGTGTCTGACTACTCAGGCTGGGAGGTTTGCTCCCCGCTGAAGCTTAGACCTCCTCTGAGTACTCCCCAGATTTTAGAAGAGCAACAAGAGGGCAGAAACTTGGGCCTCAGCAATCCCAATGAACTGCTACTGCTACTATCGTTCAGCTGATGAGTATCTGTCTTTGTCTAGGAGAATCCAAACCTGCAGCCAGAATCTGACCAAGAAAGACAAACCTTCAACTTCTCAGCAGAGAAACCAGATTTCTACAACTTCTAAAGATGAAGCACCACAAAACACTGAGCTGGTGGGTGGAGGTGTCTTCCTGTCTGTCTGCCAAGCCCTTCAAGAGGAACAAAGGCATTCAGTCTTTTTTTGTATGTCTGAAATCTGACAATAAATCACACTTTCTGGATTTGTACTACATGCTTCTGAAGCCAAATCTCTGCTGTGAATGTCTTCAACAGGGTCTGTCCTAATATCTCAAACACTACTGGAGTCCACAGAACTGTTTTTCAGGCAAGGGACATGCATGGAAAATTCAGTCCACCTAGTTCACAAAGCAAAATAAAAGCTTTCCTAAGTCTTACTCAGAAGACTTTGTAAAATAACACCCTGCTGCTTAGAGCACTGGAATAAAGCAAACTTTTATCTGGCCACATGTGATGAAATTTTCAAGTAAGCTTGGATGTGACTGAAACCTTCTTAGCTCTACAATAAGCTATTGAAAGAGCTTCCATCTCATAGGGAAAAAACCACCTGACCCCAACAGAAGGGAACTAAGGGCACCCTTTCCTGGTTGACCTAAGCATCTGCTAAAGAGGATTTGTACTTTCGAAAACTGGCCTCAGTTGCTGATGGCCCAAAATGAGGCCTGAACAAGTAAAGCTGTTGAGTTAGATGTCAGACCTTGTACTAGTGGCAAAACTGGCTGTTGTAGGCAACCTGTGGCTTGCTCCAGTAGCCAAAAAACAAGCATGAGCCCTTGTTTACTGTTGGAGTTTCCTGCTAACTTGCCAATGGCAGCTGTGGTTTGAGCCATGTTAACAGAAGTTGCATTTCCCTGGGAGGGTCAGGAGGAACTAGCTCTATGTCCTCATTGCAGGCTGAGCACGTGGTGTACCAGCGAGGGTGAGGAGATAATCCACTGCACATAGCTTTAAAACTGGTCCATGAGTCAGTCTAATTTGTACCTGTACAATAAAGATAATTAGCTTGATTAAAGCACAAGTGTGTACCAAGGCTGCTCTTCATAGGTGTCGCCGCATAGCAATTGCGCATTTCATTATGTGCAGCCTGAAGGCATTACCTATTTCACTGAGACGTATCTTCTCTTAGACAACCATGAACTTCGTAATTTCTGTTTTGCTAGTCTGAGGAGCAGCTGCATGCAAGAATGGGCCCCTTCACTGTATAAAGTGACACTGGCTTAGGAGGAAGCCATAAGTCTTGAACGGATACTCTGCTCAGAGCAGGAGCTGTATGACCAGGTTTCCCAGCTCCAGGGGGTGGCTAGAACAGTTAAGATCTCTGCCCTAAATCTCACCTTGAATTAAACATCACGTTGGGCTTGGCTCCACTTGCAAGTTAGAGTGCATTAAAGCAGCCCTAGGAGCCTTAACTTCTGACCTGTCCACACTGGCAAGGCACTTAGACTCTGCAGCTGGAGCACTCCTGGTTATCCACCTCCATGAGAAGCATAAATCTTGCTGCACCTTGGCTGAAACACCCAGGTGTCAGTGTGAACGAGGTGTTGCATTACTATGCTGTGATTAGCCTCTGGAAACATCCCATAATCCTCTTAAGTCAAGTGGCCACTCTTGTCATTGTTTTGAACTTGGCTGTAGGAATGTGGCTATCCCCTTTCAAAGCTCCATTTCTGACAGCTGGCATGCTTATCTGCTCTGGGACAAAGCAACCCTTACTGTGGAATGCTGCTTGCTGTGAGAGAAGGGAGGGGGGGGTCTGCTGTTGTCTGAACTTACAAGACAGCATACTGACACACACTCAGCACCCTAAAAACCACCCTTCTCTCTCCCCCACCTACACACAACATATGCCCTGTCACCCCCTGTATTTGAAAAGCATGTTGCAGCCACTTGCATGCTGGGATAGCTACTACAAGGCATTGTTCTTTGTGGCATTGCAAGAGAGGCTAATGTGGCCACATCAGTATGCTTCCAGCTGAGTGTCAACACCCAGCAGCATTTTCCCTACTGTGGTCTCCAAAGGCTGGTTTAACTCCCAATGCTCTACATCTGCATGTGTAGCCATGCCCCTTGTTATAGCATCCAACTTCTGAAGCCCTTGTTCTCATAGTAATGTCACAGTGTAGAGGTCTGATCAATCTCTAAACCAGTGGTACCCAAAAAGTGGCCTATGAGTCACCTGCTGGCTAGTAACAGGATAGCTTTTAATGCTGAGGGGAATAAAACAATATTAAATACTCTCTAATACTAATCTAGGCAGCAACTGTAGCTGCTGCAACATTGTGTAGACTACTTCCTGCTGGCAAATAGATGGATAAAGCAGTCCACCTCTCTGAAGTCTATTTCAAACAGGTCCTCATCCTCAAGGATGAACTTCAGCCTTCCCACCCCGTCATTGCTTTCCCCCAGCACTAGGAGCTGCAGTTAGTGGTACAGGAGATACTCTCAACTGTTTGAGGGTGAGTGATCTCTCAGTGCTTCACAGAAGGTAAACCAGGGAAGGAGCAAGTCTCTAACTAGAAGACTGCACTGTTCATAGCACACTAATGGACTTTACCCTTCAAACCTCTTCATAAGAACAGCCGCCAACACCCCACTTCAGGAGTTAATAGCAGAAACCATAAACGGTCCTAGCTATTGACTTGGTCTTCAAGTAATAAGTGCCTGATGCTTTGACACTTCAGCTCCCTGTTGTTTATTTCCCATGAAGTAGATTCTGCCCCAGACCATGAGGTTGTGGTGGTGGTGATGGAAAAGGAAGGGGCTGTGCAGAGAGCATCTGAACCTTTGCTGTTTGCAGACACTTCCTGTGTCTGTAATTACTTGACTGTACAAAAAGCTGCCTGTGGTGTCCAAATGAAAAATACATCACAGAGCCTTCCTCCTACGCCTTTTCTCCTAATTAACAACTCTTGCCTAAAGACCCTCTCACGGAACAGATCTAGGCAAGAACCTGCCTATTCATTCCTACATGCAGTATCCAGTCTTCTGTAGAAAGCAATCTTGGAATGGGTGGCACAGCAGCTAGGCTTGGGCAATGCTAACCTCTAGCTAACTCATTTGACTATAACCCCAGGCAGTTATAAATGAAATCCTTGCTAGTTGAAAGCCATCTAGCCCATGTGCAATACGAGGCGGCCTCGGTCCTGGTGCAGAGGGTTTGCCACAGCCTTCTCCAGCTACTACAACAATGAGGGCAACTGGGCAAGGATGATGTGGCAGTTGGACATGATGCTGCAACCTCAGTTGGAGCTATTGCTTCTATCTTAGAACTGTGAGCAGTTGCCAGGGGAGCTTGCACTGCCCCTATCTAACTCAAGGGACATTTAAGTATTGCAGAAAACACCAAAACCAGAAACTTCCCTAGCAGAACTGGCATATGCTGGAGGGCAGGTGAACATCGGTGATGAATTTGCTTGAGGGAGATCTACACATGCAACTGAGACTGCAAAACAGATGGGCATGTATGATAGGTCTAGTTACCTTATGCCATCCTATGAAAAAATAAATTAGGCCTTGGATTATTCACTATCTGCTGGCCAATCACAAGCAGCAGTGACAGACACTTGAATGGCATGTGGGACGGTTCAGCCGGCTGTGATGATCATGAGATGAGAAAGAGTTATAGTCGTAACTACAAAATAAAAGCTACTGTATAAAGAGTAGGTATTATCTTGATCTTCTAAAGTCACTAGAAAATCTGTGGGAGTGATGGCTACTCTATTGGTGATTGGTGTAGAGCGGCTATATAAGGAGAAATACATAAAGTCTTCATGGCATGTAAATTCCACCTGATCTGTCTTCTCCTCTCCCGAAAATCTACCGTGACTTAAGATATCATGCCCCATTCAGGTTTCCTTTTGACAAAAAAATAAAATAAAAGTAAAAGCCCCAGATGTGTTTAGGGGTTTGCACCCCGTGTTACAGTGTCTTAGGAAAATCTGGTACTGGAGAACAGAGAACCTCCTTCCATTAGAGTTAATTCAGCCTGGAAGCAGAACCTATTTCCTCCTCTTATTTACCCAGTTCTAACTGAAGTGTTAATATGCCCGAGAGTCTGCACACACGTTCCATCTGCCCTGGTGAGATGCATGCAGTTTTAATCATGTGGGAGACTTGGGTATTCTCTGTTTAAAATTAAAATGCCAGAGCTGCTGAATTACAAAGTGATCCTTGATTATTTTTTATTTCTTGGACATGATACTGTATATTCAAAACTAGGGTGACCAGACAGCAAGTGTGAAAAATCGGGACGGGGGTGGGGGGTATGAAAAATCAGGACGGGGGTGGGGGGTAATAGGAGCCTATATAAGAAAAAGACCCAAAAATCGGGACTGACCCTATAAAATCGGGACATCTGGTCACCCTAATTCAAAACTGGGACAAAGGGTTGCCTGAACATGTCATTTAAACTATTAAATCTTTTGTCTGGGCCAGTGGGTTGACATCAGAAGGGCTCCTCAGTTCATCTGCCTGCTCTTCTGGCATAGCATTGCTGCTGAGACTGATATTGCGGCTGGAAAATATTGTATTTCACCAGGTAAAAAGAATCTGAGGCGGATGCCTCTTTGGTGTAAATTGATACACAGCACAGAGGTGGGCCTTGCTAGGCCACCCTGTGACTGTCGCCTTGAGATTGGATTACTTTAAAGCACTCTACGTGGTTGTATCTGTGCTGAGCTTTTTCATAATCTCTCACCAGTAGGCTAGCAGTGGTGAGCACACCAGTGGAAACTCTCCTGTAATATTTGAACCACTGTGTCGTTTAACCTGGCAGCACTGCTAGATGACATGGGACTGATCTAAGCTAGCTCGACCATCAATAGAGCTCCAGTGATGGGCGATCTTTGAAAGATGCTCGGAATAGGCCAGGTTCATGAGACGCTTAGTACTCAGAACCTCAGCTGCCCAGTAACCAAGCAGTGTCTTTCTCAGACAGCATATTTCACTGATGCTGTGTAGTCTCCACTGGCTGCCTTCCGTTTCACAGAGGAGTTGGAGGAGCTATAAATGCTTGAGATCTGGCTAGGCGAGAGACAGCCTCTTTCCCCACAGGATCCTACAGTGGAGAAGATTGAGCCACTGCACCCTGGTTTAAAGGGGCAGGGACTGGTGCTCGGGGGTTGTCAGGGAGAGGTCTTTTCCTCTACAGCCCATTCCCCTTGGGCTGATAGAGCCCCGCCTTTGTTGCTGCCTAACATTTCTATAGCAG